TCGCGAATTGAGTTTTTCAGTAACTCTTCCTCGTATCGTTATCCACCTCGAGTTTATCGAGCCCCAACGTTTCGTGTCCTTTGGCAATGTGCAAAATGAATGAAAGAGAACGTTTTGTTTAACGGTAAAAAAATATTTATTCGATGTAATAAATAAAATTGGCGTACGTACAACATTCTATAGGAAAATCGTACGCAGTTAACGGAGAAGGCAAACTTATCGAAATTCGATATAGCACGTCAATGGCATGTCCATGTTGCGAACAAAAATGTACGAAATAACGTTAACCTATATAAATACAAAATATAAAAGCACGAATAATTTCCCGTTTATCCCACATTGTATGAAAAGCAAAATCCCGATTGTTCTTACGAATTAAATTATAAAAATACCTTTTACCAACGATACCGAAGATTCGTAAATTGCAAAGGTAAGCACCCGAAGGCGATAAAGCTTACGATACCTCTGCGCACGAAACAAAATCCATCCCGTCGACTTTGCGTCCATGCAACGAATCAGTGAAGAAAAGAAAAGCGAGAAAATCTCTGGAAATTTAGGTATAGCAAATGTAGGTCAAGCATTGCGTATTAAATGTCAACCACGGCCACGAGTACATCGTTTTTCGTTATTTGTAAACCGTGTTATCGCGATCCTAACTCGATGCCATGGCGCCAGTTACTTTCTTTTTCGATCTCTCGGGTTCTCTTTTCCGCGTGGGTAAACAGTCAGTCTCGATACGGGGAAGCAAGCTAAGATTAACCCGCGAAGAACGGGACCACGTCATTTCCATATTTGGGTCGGTTTCGCTTGAGCATAGGTCGGCGCGTAGCTCCACGGATAAGTCGGTGACGCTGGCTTAGGTACCTGATATGCGACGTTCGGGTAATAGTAGAACGGATAGACCGGTTTGATGGGTTTGTATAAAAGCGGATTGATTACCGCCGTTTGCAATCCGTACGTTGGATGCGTCGCTGATGGAGTTTGTACGGGATGCACGTGTGTGGAGGACGGAGGGAGTACTGGTTGCAGAGGTGCTACTGGATGAAGAGGCGTCACCACTGGATGAAGGGGAGTTGCAACAGGATGCACAGGAAGTGGCACGGTATTAACCGGTGGAGACGAAGGAAAGCCAGGTCGACTCGGCAAAGGAGTCGACGAAGTGATGGAGGGCGAGGACGATGGCGTGGTACCAGAGATCGGTTTCTGACCGTGATTCGTAGGGATAGGTAGTCCGAACTGCGTAGGTGAGGATCCTGACGGTTGGACAGGTGTAACGGCACCGGGCGCGAAGAAAGTAGAACCGTAAGATGGTACGTTCGACAGGAAAGTTGTACCAGCTATCAAGGTGGGCACGAATCCACCGTAAACCGGAACTCCTGGAGCGGATGACGCTAAGGGTGGCGCAGGTACGGAAGAACCGACTTGCGAGGTACCATCGCCTTTAGCAGCCTGAGGGGGTTGCACGGTTGTCGTGGTTGCTGTAGTCGTAGTGGTCGTTGGTGGTTGAATAGTGGTCGATAGTCCATAGCTAAGCGGAAACCCCGGACTGATCGTTGTTCCTGGTAAAAAAGGTGATTGATTGAAAGCTGTATTTCCAGAGCCAAAGTTTACGGTACTCTGTTGTGTATTTAAACCGTGAATCTTCATTCGCTGTCCAAGGGAAGCCAGAAGATCTTGATTCTGAACGAAGCTCGGCTGATTTTGAGCGTACCTTCCTGCTGCATCTGCATTTTGGGCCTGAGTCTGGGTCGCGAGTGCTCGCTGCAATTGAACAATCAATCTGTCCTTTTCGTGGGACTGTATTTGCTCTAGGGTTTCTTGAGCGCTAAGAGTTCCAGATGCGTACGACGGCAGCTGCCCTGGAAAACTTGCCGGGCTTTGTGAACTGCTCTCGAAATTTTGAAACTGGATATTCGCATTAGGAACTTGATTATTATGACCTAAGAATTGGTCGACTTGTGGGGCGAAATCTTGTTCGTTCGGCGGTGCGGCATAAAGTTGCTGTATGGCTTGAGCGTTTTGCGTTAGGAAAAGCGCCGCATCGGATATCTGCCCTTGCGGCTGTACGATGTTCTGGCTTTGGAAGTTTGCCGATGGGCCTTCATTGCCGTTGTTGGGACTTTGCGTTACTTGGGAGGAAGAAAAAATTTGCGGTACGCTATAGCCGGGTAACTTCTGATTTTGCGGCGGTAAGTAATTGGCCGTGTGAATCCCAAAGGGTTCATTGTTTTGAGAGGATATTGGATTCGGTTCGACGAAGTCGACCTGTCTAATTGGACTCGGAACTTCCTGTTCGAACAACCCACTAGGGCGGCCATCAAAGTTCGAATGCTGTTGACCGAAATGACCGTGGGACTGCAATTTATCTCGGTGTTGTTGACCATGCGACGTAGGTCTCATTGGAGATGAATTCTGATAACCCGGTGGTCCGTATTTTGTAACAGGTCTGTTTATTTGTGCTGGATGCCTATTGACAATACGCCCTCTATTGCCAGATTGTCCAATTTGAAAACGGGCTCTCGAGGCTAACGCGCTACTCGTTTCTGGTCTCCTATAAGAGTACCCAGAATCTCTCTTTTTTTGCACTTCCGAGTCTTTGTCATCGATATCGCTTTCCCCTTCGCCGAGATCGACTAACTCCAATTTTGTGATCTCCGGCTTTTCTTCCCTTTCTTCCGTCTCGGCTCCCGCTTTGACGCACAGTAAGCTCGCAACCAGTAAACACGTTATCTAAAACAGAGATGAACCAATTTGTCTTGCTGTATTATGCATCTTGAAAAACGGCTGAATCTCGAATCGCGAAACTGCGATACGTCGCGTGCGCGTATAGAAAGATCGTTTCGTTGGAAATTTTCCTCGTAGATTACGAATCGTGGTATACTTACTAAAAGGAACTTCATGTTTGTAATCCAACTACACTTATCACTACACTAATCAGACGTTTCCTAAGCTAAAGGCGTAATTCCTGCAGGTTCCTTCGACATGTAATCAGAGCACCTGCAGTGAAAAAACTAATTTCGTGAAGGATGGACAGGCTCGCACCGACTAAGACTACGGCCATACCTGCACATGTATAAATACAGTCGGGTCGCGACCATCCACGAATTACAATAGACTTTCTTACTGGCTTTCATCGATCACACTTAGGCAATGCTGTTACGGATTGGTGATGTTACACATATCGATGTAGAGTATCGTCTTCTCCTGACTGGTCAAATATTTCATCGGCTTTACATTTTTCTTTTACCCGAAACACGTCGCGTTGCGACAACAGATGCAAAATTCGATTCGCGAAAAGTCCAATTGCCTGGGAATAATTTCAACCGACTGGCCCATAAATCAGTTTCGTGAAACTTATATTCGCGGTCGTTAACGATAATTCTACAAGCGAAAAAGATACATAGCTTCCGTCGTAGTTTAAGATTCTTGATACAGTACGAACAATTGGACCTTCGTCGTATCTTTGCTTCGTACTTCCTTGCATAAATTACTTTTTCTGCAGGAAAACGCAGAGGAAACGAAACGTCACTCTTCCCAACTTCCGTCGGCTTGCTGAGAGGCGTTCCGTAGCTATGAGGAACAACGCTGGTATCATTCCCATCACGTCCATATTTTCCGATACCTTCGAAGCCACAGTGAAAGTACCAAAAGTCATCAAGTTCTAAGGAATACGGAATAAGTGTTCGTTTATAGTGATATATTCCTGTTGTGTAATTCTCGATTACGCATAAGTCATGCGTGCTCGAATTTTTTGAAACGTTTCAAATGTCGCCTACGGTTACGCATTTTAATCTGCCGAAATGAGCTCGATTGGATAACACGATCAGTACCATCGTGGGCTATTACAGACTCGCGAGACCTAAATTTCACGACTCGTCCTTAAAATTCACCGTATCCCTTTCGTGTCGTTTTATATAACGTGGACTTCAGGAGAATCGCAAAGTGATGCATTCTTTATTCATGCAGACTTTTATGGCCGGCGGTCAGGAACTCTGTATCGTTTCCAGCGTTGGGCATAGCTTCTATTCTAATGACTCCATCCTAACCTAAAAGATGCCGCGCAAATTAGAACGTCAAACTGCATCCGATGATGTCACTTGTATTTGCCTGTCATTTTATTCAACAGGAAGTCTACCATGCGACAATGCATCGATGCAACAATAATCTAAGATGCATTCCTGTATTAAAGATGGAACTATAGATGCATGTCTAACATGATCGCCAATATGAATCGTACGATAATTTGCATCCACATCGAGGACGGATGGAATTTGAATCTTTGATTGCTTATAGATCGCGCCGGATGTTCTCTTTGTGCGAATAGTCGTTGCATAGTTTGCTTGAAAATTTTGTTCATCGTCTCTTATATTATGCGGTAATTAGACGTGCATAGGGAAAGTAATATCATTGACACGTATAAACTTAATTATGTTCTGTATTTAACATTGTAACATACAATATGAAGAACACTTGTATTAACATGTGATTGTCGAAACATGTGTAGCGGAGAATTTCATTGGAGAAATAGTTAGGAGCTTTTCGAATGTTAACATCGGAGAAAATTTCGTCCAGCTATTGGCTATCTTAGTTTAAGTAAGCTCAAAGTAAACTATTTGGTTGAAAATCTTTGCGATTGCCATAATCGTTTCCGTAGTCTTCGTCAGAAAAATCCTTCAGGCGTTAACTCTGATAACTCAGAATTAACCCTAATAGTATGTGTTATAGTAGTAAGGGTAAGAGCGATAGTAGGACGCGCTATAGGCATAGGGCAAGCCGTAACTGGCAGCGTAGGTATATGGTGATATGTAAGAAGTGTATGCAAGTGGCGCAGTGTAGGCCAGCACAGGTGTTCTCTTATCCCTTGGTCCGTCCACACCTTCTACGTTCGGTTGCTGCTGCGGCTCGAGCTTTTCGGGTTCCAGAGGTTTCTCTGCAGCTAAGGCTACAGCGCAGAGGGCCAAGAGAACGATAGCCTGAAAACAAATAGAACAGTTTACAAGACGAATAGTTTTCATTTGCAGAAGTGCAACCTTAGTCTCCTGAGTGAGATTAAGCGGTGGTTGCTAGGTGAACGAGAGTTTGTATCTCCCGTACAATTCTGCTAGATTTTTAAGCAACTGTCCCTTACTTACTGTCTTAGGAATCGAGTATCGTTTCAAACGGCAATATCCCGCTTATGGCAGAGGACTGTGTTATATTCGTTATCGAGTGACTTCTAATTACAGATTTTCCATAAAACATATGTAATTTTACAATCACGTAGCGTACGTGTATTAAATGATAATAGAAAATTACAGGCAAGTGTCGTCTAATATGTTAGCAGACAGTGGTGCAATTGTAATTTTACTCGGCAATCGACGAAAAATAGTAGATGTTCATCGAAAATGGATTAAATGCAAATGCAATGTATCGAACGGTCGCAGCATAAGAGTGTAATGATTGTACTTACGACGAAGCACTTCATGGTTGATAAGTTTGGTAGATTTTGTAGATCAGCTCGTGTGATGAACTGGGAGTGAATGATGCTCTTGCTTTTTGGTGGATACCTTTATATACCTGGCGACCAGTTAGTCCTATGCACGTCATTCGCCGATTGATCAATGCACGAGGACACGGGAATCGTGCGTGTACCGAGCGTGTGTGCGTGAGCCGGTGGATGTTGCACGGGGTTGTTACACGTCCTATTGTTTACGGAGTCGCATACGTAACCCGTGTACGTGTGCTGTCAGTGTTGTCGGGGACGACGAGGTCTGCTAAGGAATCTCGTTCACGTATTCCCGAAGCAGTCCCGTGTATAACCTCCGATGCACGGCACGCGGGTGAAGCAAGGGACCTTGGCAATCAGCCAAATACGAACGAAAGTGTTTTACCTCATACGACGTAATAACGCTCCTTAACATTGCGATACAATTATAACGAGTTCCATGCACTTGAACGATCATGATATGCGACCTTTGATAAGGTGGTAAAAGAATAGGTGCTTTTGCGGCGCTGAAAATACGGGACAGATACGAATATACGTAAGAAGAAAGACATTAGTTTATACGTATTCATGATTTCAAGAAAAATATTTTTCAACGAATTCTTTCTGGAATATTCAGTTAATAAGAGCAAACCATCTGTATGAAACAAGGAAAAGTAACAGAATGTATGGGAATATTTGCGATGCGTAATCATTATCTGTATGAGTGTCAAAAAAAATTCCAGTTACGATTTTGCAGATCATGCAGATTTTTTCGTATTTTACTATAAGAGGTACACGTTACTAGTACTATTATGGACTAACTAAAGAAGTACTACTGTACTACTATATACAGTTGAAGTATTAGTAAGAGTAGTAATGGCGCAATAAAAGTTTTACCAAGAGGTGGAATTTCATTTGGTTTCTTTCGAATTCGACGTCAGAAATACTAAAAGCTAAATATATTTAGCGATGAAATAAATAATAATTAGAAATACATTCTTCATAGCGATATGATTATCGATTGTGATCGATTATTTTTCTTAATCGATATTGCGAGCATCAAATTAAAAATCAAACGTGTTTCACGATCGAAGGGTATGTCCTTGACGATTTGAATTTCAATTTCGGGAGAAATCCCGGTCATTGCCTAACGTCCAACTCCGCGCATGCGTATCACCAGTCTGGCATGCTCGGGTAAATCGGTGAACGACATTTGTATACCGGTTCCAACTCATTTTAAATTTGTTTGCATTTTCAGTGCATATTTTATCTCATTTTTTCTTTTTTATTTATTCACGATCGGCTCTGATCAAAATCAGGTATATTTTTCCACAAAATTAAATCAGCAAAAAATGTTTTCGCATAATTGGATCCGGCCATTTGATCCCGCAGAGTGGCGATGCAGAAATAAAATCACAGAAAATACAGGTTTCGTATTATTTATATCACTACTTTTTCGAATTTGACCAGCAAACAATTTATAGTTAACAGCTCGATCGCAGCCAAAATTGTCAAAAAGATAAAGGTGTTGATTAATTAACCTAACCCTATCGCGTATATTCCTTCTAGAAAGACAGGACCTGTATTCTTTTTTATTGTTTGAAATGTTATATTTAGAAAGGTAGCTTTCATGCCTATTTTATATATATATATAAAACCATGTACCACCAACGTGTTAGCACATGTCCACTTTTTGTAACTATGGTACATAATACGATGACTATATTTATTCGTTTTTGTAATTATGGGGTTCCTATTGAACGCTTTAAAGAAATTCGTAATTTAGATTCATCGCTTTGTGATCTGCTTATATAGACGAAAAGAAATGGGAACGTGGCATGTTTTTGCCTAATTAATAATCTTCGTGCAATTTATTCGTCTTTGCGGCTTCGCTTTCAAATCCTTCCTGGGAACGCGATATCGACACCTTCTTCTAATATATCATGAATTTTAATCAACGAGTTACCACTAACTACGGTTAATAGACTACAGTCACAACTTCATTGATAAAAGTATATATGGAAAAGGATGTGAATAAAAATAGTAATTAACTTGTATATATTTATTAAATATTAACATTTTAAATTATATTAATAAAAAGTACACTTTATATCACATTCTCTTTGTCAGATTCTCCCTGATAATCTGTAACATAAAAATGTGCTACTTGAAATTTGAGGTTTATTTTTATTATATTTTTATTCATAAATACAGAGATATTTCATTTTCAGATAGAGCTAATGGAAAAAATCATCAAAATCATTGCATAACATTTATTTTCATCACTACAATAAGGCAATTTGAAAACTTTGTTTTGCAAAAATATATCTTTACCTGTGATTAGAGGCTTGCAGATTTCATCCAACTTTTCTCGTTTAAAATATTCATTTTCCTACAAAAAGGTGATGTTTTTGTTTTACTGGGATACAAAATTTTACATTTCTGAAATATTAATTTTTTTCTCAGCGGTAGTGACGAAATTTAATATGTATATATATCATGAATAATCAAACACATCGATTCAGACTCATCATTGAAATTAACAATATTTCCCTAATCACTTTAACTATTTGTAATCACTTTGCCATATAATTAAAATGAACTCACTCGTCATACCAGTGTTCTTCAGCTTCTATTCAATTTCACATTCAGCAACAGAGATTCTACAATAAAATAAAAGAAACTTTAATAAATTCTGTACTTACTTTCATTACATGTTTGATATTATCAAGAAATTATCAGATAGGAGCGAAAGACATATTTGCAACTCTTCACTATAAATCCGTTGAACTATGAACTCATCATATTTTATTTTGAGTAAATTCATTTTTTAAAACATTATAGAAATGGATAAAATATAATACGGTCGTGACTTTTTAAACAACATCGATCGATCGACAATACATTTGACCACGTTAAATTTGCTGATTTTCAGAATTCACTCGCTAGTATAGCTGAGATGTGAGACATATGTATTTTATTATCCTATTAGTTTTACGATCGTATTACATTTCTCGTAAAGAAAAGAAATTACTATACTTACTTGAATAGTGTGCAGTTATCATCATTGAGTTCACATTCTGAAATGCAAAGTAAATATATGCTTATATAATAATTCATTTACACAGAATAAAATAATTTCTTTTTTTTTTTTTTGATAATCAGATAGGAGCGAAAGACATTTATTATTATACTTCATTTTAAATCAGTTGAACTATAATCTCATCATTTGTTAAGTATCAGAAATTAATCGTTTCTTTCCCTTTTCAAATAGTCAGTAAAGACATACCAATATTATCAAAGCTTCTTGAACTTTCCTTGAACAAAAATTCTGGGTACATCTATTCCTTCTTTCAAGTTTATGGTGCGTCTTTGTATATAAGTACATGTTAAAATTTCAAAGCCAACAGATTCAAATAAACTCGACACTTCTTCTTTTGAGAAATAGTATGTCCTGAAATAAAACATGGCTGTGAACTTAATCTTGAACTTTATATAGTCAATTTCAATGGAGAAAAGTCAATAAATTTTACCTAGTACCGTCTTGTCTCATATAAAGATTTTCACTGATTTTGTGACCAGGTTTAAACCTTAATTGAGCCATATCATATAAACCGTAATCTCTAAAAAGCACAATTCCTCCGTTATCAAGAATGTTGTACAAATTTTCGATAACTCTGAAACATTAGAAATTTACAATAAACAACGGTTATTAATGAACTGAAAATAAGTATGTATGATTGCTTACTTTCTAAACTTTTCTGGATGAATAGCGGATAAAACGAATATTAATGTTACTACATTCACCGGGCAATCTACCTCGCGAAAACAATTGTCTGTTGTAATATCCGTTTGGAAGATTCTCATATTTGTTGGATCATATAGCGAATGACTCTGCACGTAATAAAATTATAAGGCACGTGATAGCACAGATACATTAATTAATAAATGAATAAACATATACCTTTGTCAATCCCACAGCTCTTGGAGAGAGATCACATGCAAATATTGCTCTAAATTTCAATCCATCCTCGATCAAAGGATATATGAAGTTTCCAACACCGCAACCGACTTCAAGAAGAACATTATCATCTTCTTTTGTACCCACACCCAATAATTCATTGAATTCTCTGGTAGTCCAATGTCTGTCTTTAAAGAATCTAGTATCGTTTCGCTTATAAAATAGGTCCCAATGCTTTTTAGCGTCTTTTTCCAGTTGATTGGCTCGAAATTCGGAGACTAATCGTGAATCTTGCGCCTGCATTTTTTCAATTTCTTCCCGAGTAAGTTGCTTTGCCACGTGGCCTACATATTCACTACGCCCAATTGATTCAGCCATTACCCCGAACTCCGTCGTAGTAAAAATTTGGTAATTTGTAAAGCAACGTGGATGTTTCAGAAATTTTTCTGAATGTTCGAATGTATCTCGTTGTAATTAAGCGAAACATTTACACCAATATAAAAGAACGATTATCGAGACCGAAAGCTATGCAACGGAATAACCTCTCACCTTCGAGTTCCAAAAGGAAATGGACGAGAGGCACATGCGTAACATGAGTCGACCCCTCTACTTCGCACGCTATAGTATACTACCTAGGCTAGTGATATCAGGGCAGCCATTATACTGCTACTGAGAAAATTAAAGTCTCTATTACAGCCATTTTGTTATAATTCGAGTATCACCATAGGGTTTTATTACTTTAATGATTTTATTGTAAAATTAAAAACATGAATTAATTTATTATTATGACAAATTCTTTTTGTATCGTTTCTTTAGTATCATGATGTAAATATATCATATTATTAGTACCACGTTGCTGAAAAATATTTTATTACCACGTGATGTTTTATTTACGTAATATATTTTAATTAATATAATTCTGGTTATTAATTTAATGTCTTGGGATCAATATAATTTTATAAGACGACGAGTGTAATCGGTATGAATTCCGCGCGTGAACTTATTCGATAAATTAATATTCGGTTCCCGTTCAAAACGAATATTTTGTGACTGCGTAGAGCATTGTCACACAATGACACAGTATTGAAAGGGGTTAGTCGTGACTGAAATTTATTCGATGCTTTTACTATTTAATTTAAGACTTGTAATTACAATCTATGAAATTTAACGTGGACGAGGAATATCGCAAACATTTGTACCTCACAGAAATTATAGTCATTAGATATACATCTGTGTGAATTTAATTGCTTATAAGTATCATTAAAAGTGTATAGGATAATGAGGTCCTTTATTAACATGAATATCACTTACCGTAGCAAGCATTCGACCTGCAATTGTAATTTTCATGAAATTAATAATAATACCCTGTTAGAGCTTGATAATTTGGATCTGCCATTATCGTATTTTCCATGTTTGATTTATTATTTATCGTATTACGATTTACAACCATCTCATAATTTGCAAAAAGAATGAGGTCAAAGGAAAATTAATCGATCAAGTAGTATGTAGGTCATTGCGGACCAGAATTTTGTCGAGGGCTTGACGGAAGATATGACGATAGATTAACTGAATGAAATGAAAAACACGTTTCGCAAGTTGCAGTCGTTAGTGCTTCTTCGAATAATGTATTCGATGGGGTCTACATCATCATAGAATTCTTTATTTAAGAGTTTAGGATTCAACATTAATCGATCGTTTTTCCTTTTTCCTTTCCTTCTCCCACCATTTTATATTTCTTTGTTAAGTAGAATATTTCCATGAACGTTAAAAGTTGTTAACGTATCGCACAAGTTGTCAGCATCATAAGAATGCGCTAAATACAAATGATGACAGACAAAGGGATTGTTTCGCTGTAAAAGAGGTTAAAGCGATTCTTTCTTCTAGTTGCTGCGCATTACGTTTGCCAAGTGAGCTTTTCCGATTTATGTAATTTCAAATCCCTTCGACGTCCTCATTAAGCCACAATTTTTTCCTTACAAAACTGATTACGCGAATGAGTTTCGGTGAAATTTCGTCGCGACATTTTGTTGCATTCCACGCGAGGAAAGAAGGAAAAAACGATTCGCTATATCCTCGTGCGGGTAAAAAAGGTTATAACGTAACAAAGTTGTAAACCTGCTTTGCCTTGAGCAAATTAAGATTAATTTTTTCCTAGTCCGTTGAAATCTCTTTCCGTAAATTTAGGACGTTTACGATGAATGTTCGTATTTCAGCGTAACCAGAACAAATGTTTCCATGTAATATCGTACCGTAGCGCGAAAGCTGATAAATTTCTTTCAATTTGTCATTCTTTTAACACCGCGAAGCATCGAATTACATCGGCTGTGGGAATAATTTGGTGATTTGCGAGTTAATTTGGAAAAGCCGCGATCTATTCGATGAGAATTCGAGGCACGTTAAACGGCACGTTCTTTAGAAATTAGCGTTGCCATAGGCGTAGCCAGTGGAGAGCCGAAGAGCATCGAGGAGCGATAGACACGAGGACGTAATTGTAGGCGCGGCGAAGATGCTTCAACCGTGCCTTTTCCATTTGTCGAGGCAGCCAGCGTCGAAGCATCTTATACCGTTCGTCCTCGTGGGCATTCCAAGCGGGAATTCTCGAAAGCCAGTTGTGCTGTAGAAACACGCGTCGCGGCCTGCCGCTCGCCGGTACTTTCGAGTGCTCGTAAAACCGCCGTTTTCTCGCTTTGTGCCGTTTTCCAGTGCACCGAATTTTCATTACAAGGGATCACCATCGAATACCAAAGTGCCGTAACTACTTCACCCCGACATCCTCGAGTCTTATGATCAAATTGTGGTAAGTAGCCACTACCTGTCGAATATCTATCGTCTATGATTCGATGCCTCTTTATCGACTATGTTGCCTCTTCAACGAGAAGAGTACATATTTATCTTCTTTTATATTACTCGTATCGTGACATATCCAGTAACGTATCGAATTTCTTATATCGATTTCGAATAAACGAATGACCATGGTGTATCAGTTGATACGGTACATTTCAGCGAGCATTTAACGGGCACTTTAATACGCGTTATCGGTGTTACGAGATATCGCATTAAAACGAACGGTAAATCTACTAAATATCGTGAAAACGAGATGCCAATAGAAAATTCGCGATTAGCACCGGGCGCATCGCATTCGTAACAGCAATGAAGCGATAAGTTGATTAAGGGTGAAGTAGAGCGTGAATCGAGAAACCGAGTGGTGCGTGACGTGTAAAAAAATTGCTCGCTGAAATATGAATATTAAACGATCATCGCGATTCGTTCTTTACACGTTCGTAGAATTGTAACCAATGCGTAATTAATGCGCGTTTTTTCGAAAGTAGAGTGAGAGCTCGCATTATCACCTTCTCGAAATCTTTTCGCGGGTACACTCCTTTTCAGCAGCGTCGTGGAAAATAACGCTAGTACCTTGGTATTCTTCTCAAGTACGGTGACTTTTTATGCCGACGATCGATCGATAGATCCTAGAATCCTAGCGACTGTCCCGTTCCGTTGACACGATTGGCAAGCAACGATAATCGAAGGTTTCGAAGCGGAAGACAACGAATCACGCTTAACAGCCAATCGAAGGAAAAGAGTCGTTCGCGTAACACGCTGACTATACTTTCGTTCGCAAAATCTCGCAGGATCTCTCTACGGATTTACCATAGAGTCGTAGGTCCGACAAACGTTGGCGCGAGAATATGCAGGTTTAGGCAAATTGGATCGTGCTTCGACTCTCGCGATACGAAACTTTCGGTCGTTGCGAATTTTATCGATACAGGAGAAACTACAATGCCGCGTAATTCTTTCGCCTTCCTCGACCAACAAGTCGTATTTTGCTTTCCAGCTAGTTGCAGGAAAAGTGCTTGGTCTAAACTTTCTAAGCAGCCTGTGGTCACTAATGTATGAACGGAATAGCGTACACGTCCGCGGGGCGCGAACTCGTAAAATCGGACTCCGTGGATTTGGGATATCGTTATGCAATTGCCACGAAATCAGCGTTGTCAACGTATCGGTCTACTTGGGGCGCAATTGCGCAACGATAGCCTAATCTATTTTCGACCTGTCGGAATTTTTGCGCGAGGAATTTAAAATCGGGACACTTTTCTTATTGTTAGCCGTGATCGGACATTCGATTTCACCGGGTTGATTTTTTGTCCGCTCCAATCAATCTTCCGTTTGAGAAATGACGTGAAATTTTGAGAAAGCGAGCGCACGATCGTTTGGTCGTTACGTCACCGTGGTTATGTTTAATATGGAAAAGTAAAATGCGACACGAGCATCGGCGGGATGATCGGGTGAATAACAAGAGAGCGATATCCGTGAACCGCAGGTATTTATCTTTTCCAAACGGTCACTCGCGGTCAGAGTGGAGTACCGTTGCACGTTAGCCCGTACTGTTGGATGTATCTACGCAACTGTTAGTTGCCGCTGCTTACACGGCGATGTACGCGATCTTAACGCTGCGAGAGCCAGTCCTTCGCTGAGATTTCTTACGATTACGAAGAAAAGAGCCGCCTGGTTGGCCAGGAAATTCCGTTAAATCGCGCGTCTACCTTCCAGTTTTCCTCGAAGCATTCGAAGACCGACTGGGTTAATTCCCTAGCGGGATTTGACCGCCTACATAAAAATAGCGGGAATCGCGATGCATGTAAGCAAATGTTAATTTGAATATTTCATGCTCGAAGGACGAAACAGCATCGCCAGCTGCGCGAACACCGAGTGTTTATAATCGTGGATAACGTGGGCGACATCCGACTGTTTTCATTCGAATTATTTTAGTCAGATTTCTGTCGGTCAGGTAATGGAACGTTGCAATGTTCCATCGCGCGGGCGCAGAGAGCCCGGGATTGTTGGGCAAGATTCTAGATCAGAAGGAGCACACGGAGGAGAGGCCAAGCCTCTAATCGATATTTCTACATTCCCGTCGAAATTAGCACGAGCGAATAAACTCCTGCAATTCGATAATGCGACCACGAAACGTGACTCGTCTATGCATACCGCGGATGCGAAAGGAGGCCCGGGCCCATTCTATCCGTCCCGATACTCCAGCATTGTCGCTCGTGAACGCGTGTCTGGGACCCCCGTGTACGTGTAATCCGTGTAACTTGCAGCATTCCAGCTGGTGCACGCCTCACGACGACGTAGCACTAGCGATTAATGGAGATGACATAGCTGCTTATTGCCATGGCATTGCGATTATCGTTGCTGCCTGACGAAGAAGGCAGCGATGTAGGCGTTTTCCTTTAATCTTCGCTCTGCGACTTTCGTCTGCAAGCGAAAATTCCGGTTGATTTTGTTTCACGGTAGGAAAGCGATTCCATTTCCCTCTTCGCAACGGGAGTCCTTCGTGGATTTACGGAACCAGTCGATTTGTAAATAAGTGTCAACGCGACTCGCCTTTTACTTCGTTTCGCTCCAGCGGAATTACGGGGTTGTAGGTGTTAATATTAGGATAGTCGCGTTCATTAGCATGCGATATAACTCCGTATTAGAAATACTTCAAGGAAAATGATACAAGAAAATGAAATAATTCGTACTGTCTACCTCGAAATTTACATGCCTCTTCGTCATATTTACCGTGTTTATTCATTCCTAGATATTCTTATCGATTACGAATCGCATAGTTAAGCAAATATCGATGCTTACTTTCACTGTTAGATGAACAATCATGGATATTAATTTTACGTATTCTCTCACTGATTAACTACAAGTTCATTTGTGCCATACGCACACGACTGGAGGAAAAATGAAATCAACAGTGGGCGTTTCACCGAGATTCCGATTGCAGAAAAACAGTTGCGGTATTTGCGAGATCTCGGATAAGCTTCCATAATTTTGTGGCACCTGTCTTGCAGGTTGGTTTCTTTCCGTACCTGCATTCCAGAGAAAGTTAACCGCGATGATTTGGCACGCAATCGAGGCCCGTACACAAGCCTGTCCCCGCATTTCCATTGCGCTCTCATCTATAGATGCGTGCCATTACACGCGGAGACGCTTTTAAGTATTCCGGTTATTTACGAACAAAACGGAAAATTTTTCTTATTTCTCGCGTACGATTAGCATCGTACGTTGTTTTCATTTCGTGTTCATACGTTCACGCGCAATAACAAAATTCGTCGTCACATTTTCAGTTCATTTACGTTTCTGGTAGCTGCGACGAGAACACATGCCACATGCAGGTAAATGCCGCATCGATTGCAGTCGATGGTATATATACGTACATGTACCGGAATGAAAGCGTCGAAACGTATTAATTTCGGTCACGCGGTATATCTGACGGCTCTCAGATGACAAAAAAGCAATTTATCATGCACAAACCTTACGAACTTTCCTAGAATAATTTGTACCGGTCACCGAAACTGGTATTCCGTTTGAAATGAAAGCTTATCATTGGAAACAGGATCCCTGAATGCCAGCAGCATCAGCTGACTGTAATTTCGGCCGATACGCTTTCCAGATATATCGTTCGATTCATGAGACGAGCACGTGCAGCCTCTGTTGCGCGGAAATCCGAGATTTTTCCGAAATCCACGGGAGAAACGATTCGAGCACATGCTCGTTTTCATCAGCCGGCTCGAAAGTTGATCGACAGACCAATCGATTCCGGCTTTTAAACGAATCATTCTCGCAAATTACTCCGTGAATTATTTTGTGGTCCCGCGTTGAAAATTGCATTCATCATTGTCGAAATGGCGTTCGTGTTCGTAATTGTACCCCGTAATGCCTAGTTTTTCGCACGGCCTTTAGCGTGCTTGTTTCAACTGTCACGACTCTCGTTCGTTACTCTTCTCGCATCGATAAACGGTCAAAGACTCCTGCCATTTGGAAGGACAGTTTTCAACGTTGCGAAATATACGAGGAAAACACATCGATTGTACATGTGGAATAAATCTAATAAATCTATGGAAAATGTAAGGAAAATGGCGACGACAATGACCGATCGACGATCGGTTAAAGAGGAACAGAAGCAGCTTTCAGCCACGCCTCGTTGAGCTCAGATACACTTTAGAAAGGCGACTCATTGCGTCGGATAAAAACCTTTCCATCGCCCTTCACTTTTCGCGGGAAAAACAGAATTCGCGATGCGTTTCGCCGCGATGCCTTCGCACGGTTGTACTGCCAATGTTACGGGTTATCAAATCGTTGCAATTTATTGCATCGTGCTTCCAACTGTTCTCCCTCTCCGTGCGGATTTCGATTCAGTGTCTTTAAATACGCGGTTAGAAATCGCTCGCGATAGCACGCGTTTCTTAATCGGCCAATGATTTAATCCAGTTTAATTGCAAACCTTAAACGCTTCTTGGAAATGGAAAGCTTGGCAAAATAACGATTTAGAAAACACGTTTAAAATATCGTTTTGCTAATTAACGCGAAAGAAAATTCAAAGATTGAATTCCAAAGTGAAATATGAAAGCGGATCCTTCGAATGGAGCGATAGAGTTTAATCAATTCTTTTTTTTGCCATTCCGAAAACATCAAAGTCATCGATTAAAATTAGAATTACCGTCTCTGTACAGATGCGAGTGCATTAACGCGCGTTTAAATCATGGAAGCGAAGATGCGTATGTTATTCGCTGATTTTCTCCTTGTTACCATACCGTCGTTAAGATGTAATCGGGAGTAATATTTTACTCGTAATATCTTAGAAGATAGCCAGCCTAACGATGCACGGATGTAAAATACTGCATCGGGATGTTGGCAATCGATAAATATATCGCGAAGTATCCATAATCTTTTATTAAACTAAATAACATCCGTTGGATCCGTTGACGATACGCGTGAAAATTCTTGATTCGTTGTATCGCTGCACGTTCAACCATTTCGCAGCAATTTCGTCGTCGCTGGTCTGGGTTAAATATACTACGCCTTATGGCATCATTATTGATTGATCGGCTGTCAACGGCATTCGTGCACAGAATTACGCTTCGCGGTGGATTTATGCGGGTTGCGTGCCGTCATCGAAAACGTTGATACAAATAATATCGGTGTGCGTGGAGTAGATTCATCGTGCAAGGACGTTGTGCAATGAAATTGGAATTCCACGGTCATGAAACGTCACGAGAACGTCGAAGCTAGGAATTACGGGTCGTAAGAGACTCGAGTGTCGTCGACTATGTCCTTTAAGTAGTTTGCAGTCTCGAAGTTCAGGGACTCGAAGTAATCTTGCTGTTACGAAGGAAAGCCGTCCTACAATTTTTCCCTAGCGCGTTTAACCTTGAATCGCGTAACCAGAGCTAGTCGGAGATACATTTGTAGCCAGTGTAGGAAACTCTGGTAGAAAATTTGCTCGCGAGTTGTACCATAACAGCGATGAAAAGCTATTTCGGTGCATCACGGATGTGGCAGGACCCGTATGGTCCGGCTTGAATTGTATCGTAATAGAGATGTAACTTCTGCTTTGCAGACTGAATATTACCTAGCAGGATGGATGCTGAAACCGGGGCCATTTTGGCCCTACAAATATTGGCTCTCTGTTCGATAGTCGCTGCCCTGTTGGCCTATCTAATGCGGCAATCGAGGAATGCCACCGACGAGTACGAGACTCGCAACAAACGCCATGTGCTGGTGACCAGCTGTGATACCTGCGTAGGCCTGCAGATCGCCCTTGCACTTTACGAGGCTGGTTACAAGGTAATAGTCGTCGCGTTTCTACATCTCGCGTGCTCGTTTGCTCTCTTGCGCAATGGCGTGGTTGCAAAAGAACCGTAGACATCGAAGTATGTATAGCCTTTCGTAAACTCGTTTAATTATCGCGCAGGTGTTTACCGGGATGCTGGATCCTTCGGGAAATTCACCGTCGATGAAAATCTTGAGAGCGATAGAGCAACAGAAAGGATACGAGGAGGATTCGACGAACGCGATTCATGGGAACCCGCAAGATCCGGAAGTACGTGCTCGTGGCCAAATCGTGCCACTGGAACTGGACACAACGAGGGAGGACAGTTTACGCGCTTGTTTGGACGCTGTTAGGGCGAAACTTCCGGCTGGAGAAGACGGCAAGCAATTGTCCATTTAATATACACCGTACGGCGAAGATTGAACATGCTCCGTTGCTTCTTATCCTATTTCGTTCATTCCCTCGCAACTTCGTGTTCCATTATTTCGCCCACGAACCACCGAATTTCTCTACATCGTCGAAGCCTCCGGGCGTACGTTACGAAAAAGGCTCTGAAGGCTTTTTAACGAGTATACCCGTGGCGAGTATCGAATGAACGGACGAGTTACTTAATTAACCAAAAAATCGCGTTATCCTGAAGGAACGTTAATTAAGTTTCGCACGATGTTCGAGTTTCGTTCCAGAAACTTCTCGCACTCTCGTTCATCAATGGCCGACTGGAAGCTCCGGGCAATTCATTTCTGCTTTAAGTCCCTACCGTATTATTTCTACTCTTTTAATTACACGAATCTCGAGGCGCGCATAAAGTTTTATGTGGAATCGCGCGAAAGTTGCGAATTGAAACCGTATTCTATAAATGTAAACGATAGCGTAAACGCGAGATCGATAATTGTTTTCGCAATGGTATCGGCCCGTTGTTCGACCGGGTATAGCACCCGCTGGGTTTTATCGTATAACTAGGACACGAAGAAATGGGATTACGTATAACAGGAACGAGAGCGGGGAATAGAGCTTTCAGATATGCTAGCCGCAAAGATTCATACGTGTAAAATATTTTCACCTCCCTGGCGATTGTTCGGTTAAAAGGAACAATTTCATCGTACGTCCATTGATAACTGCTCGTCGAACCAACTGAATTTACTTCTATCGATATCCCTTGCTTCTCGTGCGCTTACGGCAATCAGCGCGTTTGTTCGGTCTGTAACGTAATCGCGTTAGACTCGATGATTCTCGGCAAATTGTTTCCGATACGTTTCCAATCTCGTTTCCTTGGCTTTAGAGCGAATTTTAATTGTTAACCCGAGATTGGGCGAGTAGGATATCGGAAAAATTCCACGCGAGCTACGATTCCATCTTCGCCGTGGCTGTTGCGTTACCCAAAAGCGGCCGCTTAAATTGTAACAGAGTTTCAACTGTACTTAACTACAGGTCTCTGGGCAATCGTGCACACTGGAGGTTTGGCTTTGCCCGGTGCCATAGAGAGACAACCGAGTTCGGCGTGGGAATCCATGTTGCGACATAACTTGGTGGCGCCGCTTAGGACCGCAAGGATGTTCATTCCCCTTTTGCGCGTGAAAAGAGGTCTGCTACTATATCAGAGTCGGAGAAACGTTCGAGAGATGGTCTACTCCTGCGGATCCTAAAGAATGGTTTATTTTGAAGGGCGCATCGTACTTTTGGGCGATTCCGCGACGAGCTATGGTACCAAAGCTGGGGCAGGTTTGGTAGCGTTCAGCGCTTCCAGGAAGGCCGTAGAAGGGGCTGCAGAGGCATTAAAGAGTGAACTACAATCCTCCGGGGTCGACGTCGTTCTTTTAAGACCGCCACCCGTGAATCCCCTTATTCTTTACAATTCTCCCGTTCTCAAGACGTAAGGCCACGAACGTTATATCACTAGTTAACCCTCGTAGTAATTTTTCTGTGGGAGAGTCGGTGCTTTGACACGTACGCGTGCCGATATGGCGAAGCTTTCGAACAGAATATCGATATCGTTGCGTTAAAGATTAAAAAGCATTTCGTTTGCAGATCCGACGTGGAGTCTGGGATAGTATCTACGGAAGGGACGTGGACCGCGCCTGTATCTACACATGCCATTCAAAACTCGTTAATTCCTGCACTGACCTCACCCTGCCCACGTATTTCTTACGACATGGTCGCCAAGTCGAGATTCTTTTGTAGATGAACCAACTTCCGATCAACGAATACTAACGTACACGCAAACCTTGATTAACGTGCGATTAATTTGCGTATCAGTTGGCAATACCTTGTAAGATTAATGGTTGTTAACTTAGTATCGATATATTTTACACCGTATGCGTTTAAACGTTTTTAATTTTAAATCACCTTGTTAGATGCGTCTAATGCGCGAGAGGCTTAAGTTTTTCAACATGTACAGTTTTGTAATTAATACAATGTTAACAAAAATCTGTAATTAACTTGCAAGTGTCTTTTCGTTATCACCTTCCGATTAAAACTTCCGAGATCGGAATTAGCGGTTTACCAAGTTCTCATCTTCCTTCGACTAAGATCGACTAACTTCTGTTCGACAATACATATTTACGCTGGTGTCGTAAATTATTTAGTTCCCGTTACATGGTTGGTAATCACGAGAAACTGTGTATATTAGTTTCGGCAGCGATAGTATCCATCGCGAGTTTCACGGGTAATTCGCAAGCGTCTGAATTAATAGTGAATTTGCATGTAACTCATGTGCAATTCCAGCGATACAACTTTGAATTCGTATAAACGGTAAATATCATATCCGTGGGGCGGAAATTTGATTCGACTATTTGCATTGTCAAGTAGTAGATTAATGCAGTTGAATTCGCAAAGTTTAATAGGCGAACAGGAGAATTGGCGATTCCTTTGAGACCATGGTTACTCAATTTTCGCGACGGAAAGAAATATTACTCAATTGCTTCGTCGTTAGTTTCGTGGGCTCGTTTCGTAAGCTACCGAGTTATTACCAGAGCGTGCGAGGATTAGCTAGAAATTAAACTAAAAGCATTCGAAAGGCATGCAGGGAAGAGGTACACGTTTCGCGCGGAATATTTCAAAGCTGGGTATTATCGTCGCGCAAAACCTTATTCTAATTAATCATCGGACCGTGCATAATCTTTTTCCGATACATTTGCAGGCAAGAAGAAAGGTACGCGAGAAGTTAAGGAATTAGAAAACCAAAGCTTCATCCGTGATAGTTGCTATATCGTATTTGCATAATGGCGGCGCGGGCTTTTCAATAAACGTAGCGTTAGCGCAACCTGCATGATAAATTCGTTAATAATTCATAAGGCAATTCGTCAAAAATATTTCATTACCCGTTAGCAAGGTGCAACGATGATAATCGTTAAATCAAAGGGATAGAGTTTCAGGGAAGGA